AAAACACAATGCTAAGCAATAGATAAAGCCACAAAGGAAAATGTTTCCATATAATTCATAAAATTTCTCAATAATTGCAAAACATACTACATATTGTTCATTTGTGTATATATGTGTTAAAACATTTTTTATATATACACATACATATACCATATTCTGAATATTTGATAACTCTTGATTGGTGAAGAGCAGAAAGGGAGAATGCATAGCAATGTGAAAGAAGTGTTAATTGATTTCTCAATATTCGTTTCTTAATAATATCAATAATAATATTAAAATTAATGTGAATATTAATTAATGTGAATACTAATCTGAATTGGGAGCTCTGGTAGTGTAGTGCTTAAGGTACTTGACTGCTAACCAGAAGGCTGGTGGTTCAAACCCACTAGCCACTCCTCGGAAGGAAGATGAGGCAATCTACTTCTGTAGTGATACTGCCTCGGAAACCCAAGGAGGGGTCGCCATGAGTCGGGTCAGATTCAACGGCACATAACAACACCACCAATCTGAATTAATACAAATATTAATCTGAAGCAACAATAACATAATACTAGAATCTGACACAGTGAGATGGTGAGTTTGTTATTTTATCGTTTGTACTCTTGTAGATTGCAAATATTATATCACAAAAATAAATTAGAAATACTAAAAGAAATGTACTACATGGTGCCAAGGAAGGAATTAGATCTCAATTTAAGTTATTCAGTAAATCATAAATATTTTGATAAGGAGAATTTTCCGTTAATTTTGTGCTCTAGAAATTTTCATTTCACTAGAGTTCCAAATTTCACAAGGAATGGTGAATATTTATAGAATATGTAACTTTTTCATATATATCTTTCTTTAATTGTCAATTTCAAGTATTTGAGCTTTTAAATGAAAACTCTGGCAGCAGAATGCTTCCATAATGATAAGACAGTTCTGAATATTTATGAATAAGAAACAATAATTACATGAAATTGGAATAAATTATGTTGTGCTTTATAACTTATATATTATTGTCCATGTGCATTTTTATCTACAATGTAAAGTATGATAAACTATCTTAATTTAGAGAGAATATCTCCTTTTTACCTCATCACCAAGCAATTGCCAACCACATTTACAGAACATTAAAATTAAGGAAGGATGGTTTGGTAATAAATCTTGACAAGAGAGCTTGATTTCCATTTTTCTTTTGATAAATGATGTATAGTAAAACTCAAGTGTCTGTATCTTGAATGATAAACTGAGTATTATGCTTGTAGAAGAAATGCAAACTTCTCATTTTCGAGTGGGAACACATTACATCTAATGATAAGTATGCAGATTAATGCAAAGAAATGTGTTCAGAAATTTAAAGTTACTACTTCTGCTTGAAAGATTGACTTGCTTGACCATGTATCTATCTCATTTTTTATGTCATAAGTTGAATTAATGACTGACTGCTAACCTCTTGTAAAGCTCTGTCTGAAACACTTTGCCTTTGTTTAATTTCAACATATTTTAATGCAAAAAAAGCTGACAAAAATTGATTCATACAGGGTATTCTGTAGGATTTTTGTTTTGATAGTGTCTTTCAAATTTCAGTTTTTCTTCACAATTACTTTAGTTTGTTTTTTAATTTTATCCTAGAGCCAATAATGGCCTCTAAGAATCCATGAACAGTTAAGGTATTGTACATCTGCTATGTGCCAGAATTTGTAATGAGTAGGCCCTATGGGAAAAGGAAAAAAAAAAAATGAAATAATTCCAATATATAGGGGGAAAGAGAAGGAAAAATTCAAATGATTATTAAGGAATTATAAAACCCCAATAGATTGTAGAATGTGCAAAATCATATTGTGTTGCTGTTAGGTGTCCTCACATCAGTTCCCATTCATATTGACCCCTTATACAACAGAATGAAACATTTCCTGGTCCTGCTACATCATCACAATTTTTCCTATATTTGAGCCCACTGTTGCAGCCACTGTGTCAATTCATCTCATTCAGTGTCTTCCTCCTTTTTTCTGACTTTCTACTTTCCCACACATGATGTCCTTCTCAGTGGTCCCTCCTAATAACATGTCTCAACTATGTGTGATGAAGTCTTGCCACTCTTGCTTCTAAGGAGTGTTCTGCCTGTACTTCTTCTAAGCTGATTTTTTCATTCTTCATGTAGTCCATGGTGTATTCAATATTCTTCTCCAACACCATAAATCCTTCATTGAAATCCATCAATTCTTCATTGGTCTTCTTTAATCATTGTCCAGCTTTTGTGTGCATATGAGGTAATTGAAACCATGGCTTGAGTCAGGCACACCTTTGTCCCCAAAATGATATCTTTGTTTTTTAACACTTTGCAATACACAATACATTGTTTGATTTTTTGACTACTGCTTTGCTGGGCATTGATGGTGGATCCAAGTAAAACGAAACTCTACATACTTCAATCTTTTTTCATTTATCATGATGCTCCCTGTTGATGCAGTTGTGGGGATTTTTGTTTTTCTTTATATTGAAGTGCAATTCATATTGAAGGCTGTGAGTCTTTGATCTTCATCAGAAAGTGCTTTACTTCCAAGCAAGGTGTGTCATCTGCCTATCGTAGACTGTTAATGCTTCTTCCTCTAATCCTAATGTGACACTCTTCTTCATATAGTCTACCATCTCAGATTATTTTCTCAGCATACAGATTGATACACAAAACCAAAAGAATCAAACTCACTGCCATTGAGTCAGTCCCAACTCATAGCGACCCCTCCTTGGGTTTCTTAGGACGTATCTCTAAGGAAGTAGATTGCCCCATCTTCCTTCTGAGGTGTGGCTGGTGGGTTTGAACCACCAGCCTTCTGGTTAGCAGTCAAATGCCTTAGGCACTACGAAATGATAGAACTCCAATCCACACTTTTCCTGATTTAAAACCCTGCAGTATCCCCTATTGTGTTTGAATGACTGCCTCTTGGTCTATGTACAGGTTGTATATGAGCACAGTGAAATGTTCTCAATTCTATTTTTTGTCATGTTATCTATAATTTGTTATGATTCACAGTTAAGTACCTTTGCATAGTTAATAAAACACAATAAACACCTTTATAGCGTTTTCTGCTTCCAGCCAAGATCCCTCTGATATCAGCACTGTTGTCTTTGTTCCATATCACCTTCTGATGGCTTACATTTACTTCTGGTGTCTTTCTGGAATGATTACCAACCCCTAAAAGAGACTAGGAAGGACGCCTTATGTTCTCTGACAGTTGTTTCTCTCATTATACAGGAATTATAAGAAAATTAAATTACTTGAAGTTGTGCAAGATATGTTGGTTTTATGTACACTACTATATCTCTGAGAAATCACTGATACAAATTAGTGATTTGACATCAGTGAGCTGATAGATCCTTTTTTTATTGTTTATTTCCTAGATCAAGCCGATATTAATTTAGTCATTGATATGTCCCTATAAAAGAGGCAAAAATCTCTTTTTGATCATCATATGATTTAAGACAGAAATAACTTTCTTTTTCTTATGTATTATTTGTTTTTAAATCACAAATTTCTCATTTATGAGGCTACCTAGTACATTGTATATAGGTTTGTATTCTCAGAAGCTACAACTGCCAACCCTAATATTGCCAATACATTCCTTGGTGAGTTCACTATGCCGTTTATTCTTCAATTATACACTTTATAAACTGTTTAAACCAGAAGAACTACATAGCTAAGGACCTTAGATTTAGGTTACTTATATCATGTTGTTCAATTTAAATTGAATTGAAAGTGTCTTTCTATAGTTCTTTCAGGATCTCACCTGAACATTTTCCTATGACTGCTGGGTCTTAATATTCATATTTATTAATTTTATCTTGAATGGGAAGCCACAATAGTTTGGAACAGAGAGAGATTAGTTATTATCATTTAAAGTAATAATAATTGCGTCAGGTATCCATCACCCTAGTCCTTACCCCTATGAACACATGAAAGCCAGATGGAAAGGTTTCCTATTCAAGTAGCCAGCTACTCCGTAGTGAGGGGTGAAGAAAAAATGATCTTATTCTGCTTACAAACAAGGGAGAAAGAAGCAGCTGTGTGTCCCTCCCCTCCCCCCAAAAGGGTGAGAAAACTATTCCTTGAAGGTAGGATGGAAAGAATCCTAAATGTCACTCTAACCTGTGGGAATATAAATATAAATATAAACCAGCCGGTGTCTTCAGCTTTTAAATAGAGATGTCTCCAAGGTCCTGGGCCTCATTCTCCCTTGAAATATAAGCAAATATCCCCTCTGGCATTATGTAAATTTCTCTAGAGTTCTTCCACTTTCTAACCATTTGGAAATTAACTCTCAAAGCTGTTCTTAGTTCTGAATCCCAAGTTTCCAGAAAAATAATTAATTAATCTCCAACTCTTCAGAAACACAAAAATTTTTCTCTAAACTCCAGAATGAGAAAATAGAAGAAACTTCTATATTAATTTCATATGAGAATTTTTGAGGAGAAAACTTTTTCTGGAGCAAATAAAATAGAAAAATTCAGGAAACTTCAAGCTGATTGCTGTAATATAATACCTCTTGATTAAGTAAATTTTAGCATAGGATTATTTCACTTTTTTAAGACTGTGAAAGTAAAGCATGATAAAATTATATTTGCAGTACACATAGTTGTTACTGGGAGTCATTGCAATTTTATATATTTATCTTTTTTTTTTTTTTTAATTTGACATATAATCCTAGTAGTTAAATTGTTTAGGATGTCATACTAGGTATACATCACTTGAAACAGGCAGAAAGCTTAACAATATAACAAGCCACGATATATTCATATAGGCAATGGGGTTTCATTAACAAATTTGAAAAAATATGATATATTCTCACTGTCAAAAAAAACTCTCTATGATTATTGTGTAATATTATAATTATATATAAAAGAGTAAAAGAATTAGAAATTACTACAGCATAGTACTCAAAGTAATAATGGAAAGGTACTCTTTGCAGTTATAAACCCTCCTGTTAAATTTTCGCATTAATCAAGTTATATTTTTTTCATAGGTTTTGAACTTTCACATTGTGAAGACCCTGGCATTCCACAATTTGGCTACAAGATCAGTGACCAAGGCCACTTTGCCGGCAGCACTATCATTTATGGATGCAATCCCGGCTACACTCTCCATGGAAGCAGCCTTCTCAAGTGCATGACAGGGGAAAGAAGGGCGTGGGACTATCCTCTGCCTTCCTGTATTGGTAGGACACTCTTTTGAATTTCATGAAATAGTATCTCCATAAAAATGTTATCAACATATATTGTATATTTTAAGTAAGTCCGTATGTATACACACAATTCACTCCATGAATCAAGAAGTTAAATGAACTTACAGCTGATTTTTTTTTTTTTCAAAAGGAAAACCATGGAAAGTAAGAACTCATTTCACAATCATATCAATGAATGTATTGTGTTGGTACAGTATAATCTATATGAAGTCATTTTAGTGCAAAAGGCATTTGATGCTAACCAGAAGTCTGGTGGTTCAAACCCACCATCTACTCCTTGGAAGGAAGTCTGGGCAACCTGCTTCTGTAGAGATACTGCCTCGGAAACCCAAGAAGGGGTTGCTACATGAGTCAGAGTTGACTCGAGGGCAGTGAGTTTGGAGTTTGTTTGACCTTGATATACAATCTAATTCAATACAAATATATTTTAAGACATTTAATCACACAACTCTATTGAATCACATTTGCCATATATGCTTTAATTCACAAAATGACTGCCCCTTTTGGAATTAAGATAGATTTTGAAATAGTATATTATATACAAAAACTTTAAAATCTTTAGGTATATATGTACTTTCTCAAACTACATTTATTTTTCTTATGTGTGTGCAGCATAATTCATTTTACTATGAAGGAAGATGTGAGAGTCAGTGACTTAAAATCTTTTTCTTGTAGGCATGAGAAAATTATTGCTTTTCTCCACTTCTCATAGTTGGGGTACCAGTTCTTTCCTAACCTCACTAAAACAGGAGCTCTGGTGACGTAGTGCCCAAGGTATTTGACTGCTAACCAGAAGGCTAGCAGTTCAAACCCAGCAGCCACTCATCGGAAGGAAGGTTGGGCAATCTACCAGTTCTTTCCTGTTGTTGTTGTTATGTGCCATTGTGACCAGTTCTTTCCTACAACCTGTAAATCAGTTAATGAATAACTGAGGATTTGAATATGGGAAAGTAGACAGACAAGTGTTGAGAAGACTTCTGCTTTTTTCTTTCCTGCTCCAAATAACAAGTACAGGCCAGGACGGGACACTTGGCAAACAAAAAGAAATTGTGATTTTAATAAAACAATAACCCTAAGTAGAAAATACATATGCAGCATTTCTTCAGCCATTCTTATTGTTTTAAATGCATTTTATTGAAATATAATTTATGGACAGTGAATACACAAAACTAATGTGACATGGGCCAATACATTTTATTAATTTTTTTTTTTTGCAGTGTTCCCTCCCCTCCCTCCCAACCCCTGATAAGCAATGAAGAAAGTTTCCTTCCACATGTAAAACCTTCCCCAACTTCCTACAGTAACAAATACTATATGTGTCCTGTGATTGCCTTATTTCACTCTGCATAATGTCCTCCAAGTTCCTTCATGTTATGTGGTGTTTTGCAGATTCTGTATTATTCTTTAGGGTTGCATAATATTCCATTGTGTATGTGTACCATAGTTTGTTTATCCATTCTTCTGTTGATGGGTATGTAGACTGGTTCCATGTTTTTGCTATTGTAAATAGTGCTGTGATGAACATGGGTGTGCATACATCTGTTCTTGTCCTGGCTCTCACTTCTTTAGGATGTGTACCTAATAATGATATTGCTGGGTCAAATGGTATCTCTATTTCCAGCTTTTTAAGCAATCACCACACTGCTTTCCACAGTGATTGTATCATTTGACAGTCCCACCGGCAGTGTATGCGAGTCCCAATCTCTCCACATTCTCACCAACATTTATTATTTTCTGTCTTGTTGAACTTTGCTATTAGTACTGGGATGAGATGGTATCTCATTGTTGTTTTGATTTGATTCTCTCTGATGGATAATGATCCTTAGCATTTCTTCATGTATTTGCTAGCCACCTGAATATCCTCTCTGGTGAAGTGTCTATTCATGTCTTCTGTCCATTTTTCAATTGAATTGTTAATCTTTTTGTTGTCGAGGTGTTGGGATTCTCTATAAATTCTAGAGATAAGTCCCTTGTCAGATATGTAGTTATTGACAAGTATGAATTTGTTGCTGTCATTTTGTTATGTGCTTTTTCATGGTGTTAATTTCTTTGTTCCATATAATTTTCTGTGCTGAGCTCATTTAGTTTATGAATCATATTATCACTTCCTTCATTGCTATTGTTTTAATATTTGCTAAATATATGCTGGTCCTCTTTTTTATTTTGATGTGAAGTTTTATCATTTTTCTTTGACGTTACCCTGTGATTTATAAGTATCTTCCCAAGTTTAGAACAGTCTCTTCTATGTTACACTAGTCTTGACTTCCCTACCATTTAGAAGTTCTATAACTACACAATTTTTCTCTCTTTTTTTTCCCAATCTTTGTTAGTTGATGTGATCAACATTGGACTATCTATAAATCTTGCTAAAATAAAAATAGAAAAAAGTGAAATTTTACTCATTAGAGGAGTTATAACTAATTTCCCAATGCTATTGATTTCATAGGTCTGTAGTTGGTTTATTTAAACATTGATTCACATAGAAAAATACTATGTAGCGATATCCAGTCACAATATTTTCTTTTCACATGACATCTGAATTTTACATGAATTATGAGGGTGATATCTAAAATAATCATCACCCAAATGCCAAAAGTTTGGGATTCTGGAATATGACCCTGGACATTGGTTTATGAAAAATATACCACTGATTACATCTCTTTGAGGGTATATTCTTTGATATGATTCAAAAATATTTTAAATGAAGCAATGGAAGTTGTAATAGCACACAATTATGAACTTGTCAGCATTTACTTATCATACTTTTTTTTTTTTTAATAGAAATGCTTTATTCTTTCAACTGAATTCCAGTACTGCAAGGGCAGTAAAATAATGTTACACCGGGGGGGGGGTGCAGCATCATTTGTTAGGAAGACTGATAGAATAAATAAAAACTACCAAAAGAAATCATATGAACCCATTCAGAAACTTAAGAAGTCCCAAAGTATAGAATACCCTCCCCCTCCTCCTCCACCATTTTACAGGAAACACTGTAGGCTCTTAAATTATTGAATTTAAGTGAAATGGAAATAGTGCTGAGAACAAGAATAATAAAAATATAAGAATAGTATCTTTAAATATTTAAGATTTAAACTAAGATTTTTTTTTTGGTCATAGGCTGTATCTGCAGAATTTTCAAATCTATAATGGATTACATAGTGTTCTGTTTCCTTGTAGGGTTTAGATATGTAGAAAAACATATGAACAAAGTCTTAGTTTCTCAGTTCTTTAATACAGAGACATCTTTCTAGATGGCCTGCTTCCCAAAGTAAAATCACTCTTGACATCCCGAAAGTAATAAACACTATTAAAAGGAAAGCATACCATAAAAGATAAACTTTGTATTACATTGTATGATAACACATTTTTTGGTGATTTGATAATTTATATGAATATTAGAGAGGCTATTAAATCAAAATGAAACTAGACTTAATTGGAAATAAGAAATCAAATGAAAATGCCACTTTGACTTTTGGGAGGTTAAAAGCGAGCGTTTAGAATGATTTAAAGGAAGACTAAAAGGACAATGAAATTTAGAAGGCCCGAGGGGCGGTAGTACAGATTAGTTATTGTCAGAGGTGGGGTAGCAAGATGATGAATTATTCAGCTAGCAACCAACTAGTGGTGAGAGCAACTTGCCATCTGTTGTCCTTTTTACATTACTGTTATTTAACAACACATCTTAAAGTGTTTGGAAGGCTAAATGCAAAGTCTTTGAGTGTGTCCTTTTTTTTATTCTCTAATTAGGTTTGTTTTAGTATCTTTATGTGGTCTGACTTGACATTATTATTGTACAATATATTCTGGCTTCTAACTAATACCTTCAACTGAAGAGATTCATACAACTTATACTTGTAAGAGAGAGAAATGTCAATACTTATTTTCCTTAATATGAAAAACACATACTCATGAGAAATTTGTAGATTCATTTTAAATGACTGGCATTGAATTCTAACGACGTTTTCTTGTTTTTAATTAGCTGAATGTGGAGGTCGTTTTAAAGGAGAATCATCAGGAAGAATCTTATCTCCCGGTTATCCCTTTCCGTATGATAATAATTTGCGTTGCATGTGGATGATTGAGGTAGATCCAGGTAACATTGTCAGGTAAGTAGATTTTATTGTCTCAATATTACTCTTTTGTTCATTGTAGGGGAAAAAAAAAAGAAAGAAAGGAATAGAAATTTCCTGATCAGACCCTATAAACACCAATGAACATTTTTCCGTATTATTAACTTTGGCAAGGGAAAACTTTATTTTGTGTGTGTGTGTATTTATAACATGAAATATATTAATAAGCATGATTTTTTGCTTCACAGACCACAGCGGTAGCTCATTTGACTCGTTAGAGTGAAGCTTTTCATAGTTAGTTGTGAGAAGACATAGCAGGTGAAATCTTTTTCCGCTTCTTTTGTACTCTGCTCCTTCAACCTTTGATAACTTAAGGAGCTGAGTTCACTATTTTGAGAGTTATACAAAGTTGTGCTGGTTACTATCATAAGTTCCCCCTCACTAATGTTAAGAAGAAGTAAGCATAAAAGGAGACTCAGTAACTTAACCTCGTTCCAGTCCATGACACATTTCTAAGCATCTGCTTACTGCTCCTTAAACTGTGTGTGCTTTCTTTTTTCCCGAGGTGCTGAGTTTAGTTTATATGGTTCCCAACTCATCACATTGCTGCCCTTCAGATGAGGGCAAGCCCATCATCTCCCATATCCTTAACACCAATCGGGCTTCCAAGGCCATCAAAGGCAACCCAGTTTTATTATTATGGCAATTACAAATTCCCGTACTTGACTGGATGCAATGTGACCTGGTACACTGCTATGCAAGGCAATTTGGCCACAAAACTCAAAATAGACTTCACTGGATATATCCTCAGCTTGTTTCTCTTTGGTCTACATAATGCATTGTGTTATGTAAATATTAGAATTAGTGAACTTAACAAAAATAAAGTCAATGGGACTCTGTGGTGTTATTTTAATTATATATAATATTTAATATTAAATTGCTACCTATATTTAAAGCTGTTAAAATTCACATATCAATGAAGAATATATGGCATGTATACAATTGAACATGTTGATACAACTGGATTTCTGTTATTTGTCACTGGGGACAAAAAGATCAGATGTTACAGCAACCACCAATTTTATCTAGATTAGACATAAAGCAGATTAAATTTAATATAACATAATGAAATGGTGAAGTATGTATTATTGATTCAGATAACTTGATTTCAAATCATAACTCTATTAGTCATTGAAAATTATTTAATCTATATAAACACCATTTGCCCTATTTGTAAAATTGAGATAAAATTTGTATTGGCCTCACTGGGTTGTTATTAAGATTAAACAAGAAAATATAGGTGAAGTATTTAGCACTGTGCCTGAACATAGAAAATGGTGTATAAATACCATTAGTTTTTACTATAATTAAAATTCATGAACCCTGAAAAGAATGCATACCTAAAATTCCTGTAATTCTGAAAAGTGATATGATAGTATATTTAATCATATTCCAAAGAAACAAATTACATTGCTCAAGAAAACAAGTTCCTTAAGACTATATATGTAATATATATGTGTGTGTATTTATTGTGTGCATATATATACATATTCACACATGTACACAATCCTTAAGATTATGTATAATATATTGTTTACATATTGTATTTTGTAGAGTAAAAAGAATATCTAGTAAGAGCCAAGTTGCATTTCTTTATATTCTTTGCTGAAATTTAATCCTTGTTTAAAATAATCAATCAGATGTCTGCTTCTCCCACAGCCTGCAGTTTCTTGCTTTTGATACTGAAGCATCACATGACATACTCCGAGTCTGGGATGGCCCACCAGAAAATGAGATGCTGTTAAAGGAAATTAGTGGCTCTCTTATTCCTGAAGGAATCCACAGCACCCTCAACATCGTAACCATCCAGTTTGACACCGATTTTTATATCAGCAAATCTGGATTTGCAATTCAGTTTTCAAGTGAGTTATCACTTTATTTCTTAAATCCCATATATAAATGTCTCCTATTGGTTCTAGTAATTTCAGTGTTCAAAATTGTAAGTTTTAAATTTTAATGGTCTTGCATCTTCTTATGTCCATTCTCCTTCCCTTTGCAGAGAAGGAAGTACACTTGGAAAAAAATACATTTAACCTAAAAAAATAATTGCTTGCCCATGAATGGGTTTCTCCAGTTGTCAAAGCAATTATCCTTGAAATAAGGTAGTAGTAAAATAATGTGGCTAATGAAATAATTAAATGCCACAAGTTTATGAGATGTACATACTATAAAACTGAATTTTTAAATGTAAAGTGTGTTTTGGATGATGAAGATAATGAAGCACTGCCATTTCAAAAGAAATTATATTTTTCTAATTTTGTTTTTCCTTTCTTAACGATCTTGGTCATGTATTCACAGATATATTTGACAATATTTTTAAAATATACTTTCAAATTCCAGATTTCTTAAAGCAATATAATGCTGTTCATTGTAGGTAATTACCAGTGTTCATATTTGTTTTTCCCAATGGCACTGCTAATTGGCTAAATATATATTGTTCTCTAAAAAAGATTTTGATTTAATGTTTAGAGAAAATTAAAGAAAACTGAAAACTTTTAGGTGATGTTTTTATTTTTACCACCCCCACACACTATGTCTTTGAGAAAGTTATCTACTGAATCCTTTAATTTTATAGTCTTAAAAAAATCCTATTAACAGATTCTCATCAAAATTTTCAACATCATCAATGGAAGATAGAACCAACCAGTATTTTTCAAATGTGCCTGAATTCAAATCTTGGCTCCTTACTTACTACTAAGTTAGGACAACTTACCTCACCTCAAGCTGAGTTATCTTAATCAACAGAGGAATAATAATGCTCATCTCATAGAGAGGTTATTAGGATATAACACTATCATATATATGTAGCACAGACTATTGAATATAGTTGACGTCCAGGGAACAATTATCACTAAATGAATAAATGTGAAAGTAAATGATTTGAAAATCATATTGGAAAAAAAAAAAAAGATGAAGAATTTTTGAAGCAACTGTCAAGTCAATACATCACTTCATGTAAACAATTGATCAATTAAACAATTGACTTGTCATGTTTGTTGTCCAAGAAACATTGCTGTTTGACTGAACTGACTAACACAAATTTTTTTTTTTTTATCAGATAAGCCAAGCTCACGTAAGAGGGTAATGTGTTGGTTTACCTGTAAATTTGCAGTTTAAACAAATCTTTGGATGAAAAGAAAAAAAAAAAAAAAACTGAAAATAAGAAAATGATCATGTAGTTGATAAACACAAATGGTCTATTTCTGAAACACAAATTCCACATTCTTCATATCTTTTTTCTTCTGTATTCTGCTGTTTAATTCTTTCTTTTTGAATTAGGAACAATTTGGCAGGGACCTGCTCATGACTGCTGTTCAGTCTCAGCTCTTCCTAGTGGTAGTTTGGCAATCAGCACTTCTCTTTTAGCTTAAATTCATAGTACCCAGTGTTTTACGCTTACATGTTTACTGTGATTAAATATTTACATACAGTGATGCAAAAGGTGTTTCAGGTTAGTGTTCATGAATGCAAAGTGCCTCCATGTAATATAAACAGGCCATTCTATGTCTGTTTGTGAATATTTTTATTGAGAATGTCTTTGTGACATTGGCAGTACATTTTTATATGTATTGTATTTATAGGATATATTAAAGTTATAGAAACAAAATGTATTATACTAGAGCCTTAATAAATCTGCCTTCATAATATTCTTTTAAGATGTATAGAAATGTATACTACTCATCTGAAACTAAAATTTACCTATTGAAATAAAATTCTGTTGAAGGTTAACACATTGTTAATAGCATTGATCAATGAAAATCAGCCTCTTGGTTGGAGACTTTTTGTAACACACATGCTTACAGAGCTTCCTGAATATTTATATTTCAAATGGGGAGATATTATTTTCAGGTATGAGGTCTTAGTGCCAAGAACCATATTAAGTGATTTATATCTATAATCTCATTTAATCCTCACAAAACCACTTAAATTTATTGAACAAATAGTCTGAGGTTCAGAGCAATCAGTTCATTTGCTCAAGGTCATGCTGTTAGCAGATGCCTAGACTTGTTATTTAAACCCGTAGCTGTCTGAAAGGAGTTGAACACCATGCCTGGTGCTTAATAAATGGTTAAAGGTTGTTATTGTTATTTTACTATGATTATTATTATTATTATGTTGTTGTTGTTATGTGCCATCGAGTCGGCCCCAACTCATAGCGACCCCTTCTTGGGTTTCCAAGGCAGTATCACTACAGAAGTAGGATTGTCCAACCTTCCTTCTGATTATTATTATAGGTGCATGTATTATAAGCTACAGAAAAAAAAAAAAAAAAAACTTTAGTTGCATGTTATTTTCTGTGTGTTATTAGTTGTGTATTGTCGGTGAATTTTTATACCATTATCAGCTTGGCTTCTTGATTATGATCCCAAATACAATATCAAGGTCACACTTTTAAAAAGCAAGTGGTTTTTCCATGTGAAGCAATGAGGAAGAATGATGGAAAGCTGGAGTGTGTGCAGTGTACACACCCATTAAAAACAGACAGGTAACCTCTGGCTCTAAGGAACTCTGGTGGCACAGTGTCTGAGGCATTTGGCTGCTAATCAGAAGGTTGGCGGTTCAAACCTACCAGCTACCCTGGGAAAGGAAGATGGTACAATCTACTTCTGTAAAGATTTACTTCCTTGGAAACCCAATGGGGGTTACTATGAGTCGGAATCAACTTAATGGCAGTGAAGTTTTTTTTTTTTTTTTTTTTAGTCCTCTGGCTCTACCATTTTGTCCTGTGGGAGGGATAAGTTAATTTACAAATGAAGCCTAGAATGTTTTTAGAGTAAGAGGGAAATATATTAAAAATTAAGCTAAGACAGCAGACATAAACTAGTACAGTCACATGAAACTGTTGTTGTTGTTGTTGTTATGTGCCCTCGAGTCAGCCCTGACTCATAGCGACCCCTCCTTGGGTTTCCAAGGCCTCGAAAACCCAAGGAGGGGTCGCTATGAGTCGGGGCCGACTCGACGGCACATAACAACAACAACAACATCACTACGAAAGTAGGATTGCCCAACCTTCCTTCCGAGGAGTGGCTGGTGGGTTTGAACCGCCAGCCTTCTGGTTAGCAGTCAAGTGCCTTAGCCACTATGCTACCAGAGCTCCCCACATGAAATTAAGGAGGTGTTTTTACCTTAATTATTATGCCAGACTTTTATCCTGGACCCACCCTCCACAACAATGCCCATACTTCTATTGGCGTGTAAAGGCTGTTGTCAGTTGAATGTGAAATTTATAAAAATAAGAAAAGGGAATGAGTCAGACAATGGTAGCAGGACAATTTCAGCAGTGAAATTTAAAACAATGAAATATGTTTCAGTGAACTTAGCGGAGAGTAAACTTAACTGAAATATAGTTCACATACCAATTTTCTAATCATCATCAAGCTGCTATTCTCAGGCCTTCTGTTTCCTGATCTAGTCATTCTTTGTTGAATCTGTCAGTTTGCCTTTGGTAATATAGTCTGAGAGGTGAGAGGCAGTTTTGTTTAATCAGAGCTACTTAAGTCTGACACCGTTACCTCGTGCTGTCCGCGTGCTGTCCTTGGTGCTCAGCACTGAGCCTTTGTATCCCCGGCTTCAATTTGTAATCTGCCTGTCTGTTTCACTTCAGTTCCACAGAGAGGACATCTCGGGTATCATGCTGTCATTTGCCCACAGAATAGTTGATTTTGACAGAGTATTTTCCATGCTCTTCACTCTTTGACCTCACTATTAGGAATCTTTCCCTGCTGGGTAATACAAAATACTAAGGCCCATCATTTATGCTATTGAAAATTCTCAAGAAAACAGATCCCTTAGCCAAGAGAGGTTAAAGCATCCCAGCCTTAACTGACTTCTAAATGGCCCTGTCTCTGTTGCCATTCTCATTCTTGCTCCCTGCACTACTGTAACAGCCAACCAGCCACTCATTCACTTCATTATTCCTCCAGTCAGTATTCTCCACATTTACATCTGAATGATCTTTCTAAGATACAAATCAACTACTCCTCTGTTTAAAATTCTTTGATGGCCACACAGGCCTAAATTCAAACCTTTACATTTAAACTAAGCACATTTTCTATGCAGCCTTCCTGCCAGTCTCTCCTCTTACTATTCATTTACACACATGCAGCCCTGTAAATACACTGTCCTCAAAGTTCTTTCACATTTATGTGTCTGTTGATAACTCTCTTCCCTATTTCTGGAACATCATGCTCACATTCAAAATCCTTAAACTCTTAGTCATTATCCAGACCCAAGTCAAATAGTACTTACAGTAAAAGCACCAGTAGACTCACTCCTACACAGAATTAATCACTACCACTTCACTGTGACATACAAGACAACATTTCCTTCTGTTGTACATAAGAGTGGTTAGAGTTGGCGCTGACTCCACGGCACCTAACAACAAAAATAACACATCTCTGTTGTTCTAACACGATGTACATATCATATTAGAATGGGCATATAAACCAGTTGGCCCAGGACAGCTCAATTTACACCTGTTATCCTAGCATCCTGACTGGTTTGATCAATATTTTCCATACCAAAAAAAAAAAAAGTATTCTTACTAATAGTTCTATAAAAATAACCCAGAGGTATTTGTTACATCCTTACATTGTATTTGATCTATCTACTGGTGTGCAGAGCCAACTCAAAGACAACTAACAACAGGAAGTGGTGTGGGCAAGATATTTTTGCAGTGTTCAAAGTAATTATAATACATGGTTAGATCTGAAGGACAAATTCTTATAACTCACCTCTATTTCCCAATCGTTTCCATATGCTTCCCTTTCAAAGATAATATGTTGGAGGGTACTTGTGGATAAAATGAATTATTCTCAAATATGAACCCATCCTGATCTTTAATGGTAGTAGAGGTATTTGA